TATATACTACAATACATTATTACCAGCAAAGAACAATCTATGTTGTCTTGACAGCATGCATTGCAAAACTTTCACGTTTGCACGTATTAGGTTTCTATTTCTCGTCATTACCTATGGCCTTTCGAGTGATATTGATTTTGCGGAATCCACATGTTTTGTATAGTTTTTCTATCTCTTCTTGCGACAATGAAACACACATGAATTTGAAATGACCAATTTCATAATGGGTGTTGTTAAAGAGACTGATGACCACCAAATGACCGCCAACTTTCAACAACGAAGTCGCATTTTGCACAACCTGACGATAAGCGTCTGTCGTCTGTGCAGCTGATTCAAAACAGAGACACGTTGTTATTACGTCGAACTGATGAGGATGATCTCCCTTGCCTAACGGTTGTCCTAATCTGACGTTGATAGGAAGAACTCCGCAAACTTTTGCTTTATTCCTTTCCTGTCTGTCTGCTATTTAATGCCTTAAATTAATACATAATTTTAATGAAGACATACTTTTATCGTAAGGGTTCAAATAACAAGTTCAGCAACTAAAACAATTATGTCTGAAATATAAATAAATTTTGTTTCTAGATGCGTAATTTTGCAACTATTTATATCAGTTACAATTTCATATACATTAGATTGTTCGTTCTTCTGGCAGGTTGTCGCACGCCTGATTTTCCCCCAATTTGAAAATCTTTTTTGAAATGCTTGTCATAACGCTTCGCCAATATCTCGTTTATTTTTGTTGGTCTTTTTTTATTGCATTTTAAAATTTCAAATATTATATATTATATTACTAAATATCTGTAGCCTGCATTTTAATCATAGATGCATTTCAGTTATAAATATAATTGGATATACTTTGCATTTTCTCTCTTTAAGACAAAATCCGTAAGTTAAGATACAAACCCTCGGGCGGAGTTTCCTACAATACACCCCTGGGCATAAAAGAGTCCTATAATCCTATCTCACAATTACCTGAATTAAAAAGATCATGCATAGAATCCACATTGAATTGAAATATGCTCTTTTCTTCCTCTTCCTCAGAGGTAGACCAATCGTGGGTTTTCATGTAGCACTCTGGGTCAAAGTTGTCATACTCAGTCGTTTCTGTCAGAGACATCATCTTGTATGGCCAGTACAAAGCAATATGACCAATACAGATAGGTTCGTGTTATAATGAGAACGGTGCACGGTCATGTGTGTGTATCTTGCATATATAAGGTCTCTTTCAGCTGTCCCAAGTTTCAGAGACAACGATTGGTTGAACAAAATATATTCATATTTTATTACTAATTATAATTTAACCTAGCAAAGCAGGAAAATATATATCCTTGTTTTAATCTTCATTTTCTTAATTAAACCTTCCATACACATTCCATTTTGTGTTTATTATTTCTTTGGAAACCCTATGTCAATCTGATGCCAATTCCCAATAGAGGGTGACCCTTTTTTCCATTCGTTGTAGTGTATGGATGCATAAACTAATTACGGAAGAGGCAAGAGTGAAGTAAAATATGATCTCCTTAATTCTAGAGAATCACTAATACTGAAAATATCTTTATTCAAACAAGGAAAAACGACTGTCAAAATGAATATAAACCCAAACTTTTAGAACACTGTGCCCATCAATTTAGGTCCTTGTTAGGCCCCCTTCTCACACACATGCTAAAACTTGATAGATATCGAAACTTACCTAATAAGACATAATGAGGCCATGTGTTGTATGCATAAATAAATGGACAAATGTGTCAAACTCAGTCGTGTTTGTCCAATAGTAACCCTTCAAAACGCGCACCAATTTAGCCTTAATAGTCCAGTTATTAGAAGAACGACGGACTGAACGGCTAGATACGATAAGTGCTTTTCATCACATGCCGTATTTGTAAGCACTTGCAAAGACAACAGAACTCACGTGATGAATTATATTAACTACATACGTGTTGATGAGTTATTTCTTTTTCTATTCACACAGTATTTACAACATAAAATAACTTCTACTTTTACGATTCAACTATATAGTCATTGCTTTACTAATCCAGATGATTAATTGTTTGCGTTTATGGGGAACAGTAAAACTGACAAAGTAAACGAGGATCATTTTATTCAAAACTATATGAATGGTTTATGAAAACTGTTGAATTGAAGGTTATCGCCGCTTCTCTGAGACTGAGTTTGGTCAAAAGACTTTTGTTAGTGAAGGGAAATGGCAGTATATGTCTAGTCTGTTTATAGATAATGGCATATTTGTTTATGTTGGTGATGGTTATTTACAGAAATAATGGATGTAACATCATGATCTGGAAAGAAGTCCTGGACACCTAGGAAAGACAGAAAATGGCTGAGAAGGAATTTTTCAAGACAAGAGATGGCAGTAACGTAAATTTCGTTATGGTTATGTGTTTTGAATAAAGGCCAGTGTTTTACAGAGAATGGTAAATCAAAGGAATAGTTATAATCAGTAATCTCAAAACACTAACGCCGGTCGAGGAGAAAATGTAGGGAAAATTCAAACATTTGCCTTTGACAACAGTACGCCGAAAAAAAAAAGTTTTTCAAGACTCTCATATATTTGAAATTTATCTCTAGCTATCCATATCAGAATAAGGAATACAACGTAAGTTCGGGGACAAAATAACTCATTTAACATAGAATGTAAAAGAAACATCAAAATATAGCTCAAGGGTTCAACATGGTCGCTATTTTTCTGTAGTAGCCCTATATGTCGTAGATTTACATATATTTTTAACCATTACACCGACACAACTTTTTATAAGCTCAGTCTATATTACAGTGTTACCTGCCAACTATATGGAATGCAAGTTAACCGTTCAACAGTGTATAAATCCAAGCCATATTTGTACAAAGCATTTGGTTGTTTAGATTACGTGTTCTATACATGAACAAGAGACTTACATAACGGCGTTATCACACTGAAACAAGATACTAGACCAGAACAGCTGACACACAAGTACACAGAAAAGTCTATAGTATATAGCTTCAATATACCTGTTATATCTACTATTATTTTGAGAGATGAAAACGTAACGACCATGTTTGTAAGAAATATAATTTTGTGGTGATGTAGTAATTACTGGAAAGGTGTCAACAGATATAAACATGTAAAGCTACAGTAGTGTGTTGGTTTTAAATTGTAGAGGGAAACAATGAACACATACAGTCAAAAACAAACAACAACAATGGTTTGGAAAGTAGTTAATACCGTTTTGTACTATTTCTTTGAGAAGTATCGACTTTATATGTTATTCCTTTAACAGAACATTTTGAAGTATCAGGGTTTTCTAGATACATGAGTGATATTGACAAATATCTACCCATTCCATTATATTTTACTTTCAATTTCCACTCAAAAGTTGGAAATTTACCTTTTCCCAGGAACAGCACTGAGCGAGCAGAAAGTTAAATGAACATAGACAATATTTACCAGACATTTTACAATAACGCCGCGATCTTGTTGATTTCAATCATCATTAAGATTTCCTGAATAGAGAAATAACACAACGGCACAAATGTAGACACGATGTTTTATCACGTGATTGTTAATATCTGTTTCCTAGCAAAGAAATAAAAGCCGTTTACATTTGTAATGGCATTATTATATAATATTATATACGACCATAGTATCATTTGTACATCATTATGTCTAAATATGAATACTTTATAGTTCGTTGAACTACTTTTGTTACTTTTTTCTTGGAAGGTGCTTTCAAAGACGTCAAATAACCACAAGACACTTACAGATACAGGTTCCTTACTATTACAAGTACTTGACAGTGTTAGCTACACAGGTGTTTGTATTTGCCATTTAAAAATATGTCTCTAATTGAAACGACTGATTATCAAAACTGTTATCACATTTGTCTATGATATAGGAAAAGGAAGCGAGGAGAACATTACAATTTGTACACACAAGTGATTGCTTCTTTAACATTTGGTAATATGTACATTATGCCAAAAGTTAATTACAATGCAACAAAATCAACAATAGACAAATGCACTATAGGCAATTGTCATCTTATTTAATTTGGTGTTTCATTAACACGGTATGAGTGTAGATATGGAATATCTGAGACATGAGAGGTCGATGGAAGCAAGGTTACGGTGATCCGAAGGAACCATGCAATCCACCAGCAGAGTCTACCATCTTGTATCTTGAAATAGGAAGGTAACAGACACACAAGTGATGGTACCTTCTATAACGTACCCACTGTCTACCTTAGGTCAATAATTGACGCCAACAAGAAGTGTTGCTTCATGGCTGTAGAACGTTATTCTGACTGTATGTATAATCTGATCCTTAATCGTTTCTTGTAATTATTTCATGACACAATGTGGTTGGGACATAATTGTTGGCGCACCTTAGATTTATATATGTATTCGTTTGACCTTTAGCCCCACTGATGAGTCCTATATTCATGAAATATTCATTGTGTACAGTAAAATTTTACTTCTTTCACTTCCTGCATCAATATATTATTTTTAAGGAATGCTTCGTTCTTCATATTTCTTGTTTTATTTTAATAAAGCGGTATATAAGAACCTCAAATTATTATCATTATTATTATTATAAATTAATATCAATTGAAGTTAAAACAGTTTTTTTTAATTGCATCCATATTTCAACATAATGGCAATTACAAAAATACACATAAAGTTAAGTTTTTTTGTAGGAAAGTGCGAATTAATTCAGTTTCGATATGTTGATACAAACATCAATATGAGTTTGAATCAATTGACAAATTAATTTCAATGTTTATGATGCTGTTAAATATTAACACATCACTTTAACAAGCATCTGATTGTTATGGTATTTACAAGTTTGTTCTGTCTTTCACCATTTGTTAAGTTATCAAATAGCAATAGGAACCTAACCATTTTAAATTGACATTAACATATACAAGCAACAAATGTTTTTTCTCCAACTATTTTATTTTAAATCCATTTTATTATAAACTGAAAGATTTAACGAACAGGCAAGTCCTCTAATAACCTGAAAGTGAAAAAAAAGGATGTTCGGTTAAAAATCAATACAATGCACATGATACGGTTAATTTATTAATATTTTAAAAGCGATATACATGTATCTGATTTTTTCCTCCTTTTAGATGTATCAAACATGTTTATTATTACCTTTTCCTCCTCCCATTCCACCGCCCATTCCTCCGAATCCACTTTGGCCTCCCATTCCACCGCCCATTCCTCCGGATCCACCTCCATTCATACTTCCGAATCCGCCTCCATTCATTCCTCCGAATCCACCTTTGCCTCCCATTCCACCGCCCATTCCTCCGGAACCGCCTCCATTCATACCTCCGAATCCGCCTCCATTCATTCCTCCGAATCCACCTTTGCCTCCCATTCCACCGCCCATTCCTCCAGATCCACCTCCGTTCATACCTCCATATCCGCCTCCATTCATTCCTCCGAATCCACCGTTGCCTCCCATTCCGGAGCCACCGAAACTTCCGCCCATAGAGCCGGCACCACCTCCGTAACCTTAGAAAAAAACCATTATGTCGGATAACATCACTTTTATTATATGATATTCCTGTTATAAAAATGATTATTCCGCATTTTATTTTATAAAATCTAATTTTCATCACATATCTCTTCATATTTAACTACCTCCAATTGAAAATATCAGGCATGAAAAACGTTAAAAACTTACCAGCTCTCCTGTAACCTGAAATAAAAAGTACACAATAAACGATTTGTTTTCAAAAATTTTAAACATAGATATTTCAACATGTGTTTTTATAACAGCAAATTGTATTACTTTGTGTATAGGCTGCCCCACCAGCCAGTGTATATTCCAACAGATTATCAACAAAACCTTATCATGAAAAGATATTGGTTGTTTGTTTGATAAATCTTGAAATCAGTTATCAGAATTACTTTCTCTTTGTTTTATATGATAATTCATTAAATAAAAACTTACGTCCACCGCCGTTACTGGCGCCATTGCCGTATCCGTTTCCGGCGCCATTGCCGTAGCCGTTTCCGGCGCCATTGCCGTAACCGTTTCCAGCGCCATTGCCGTATCCTTTTCCGGCGCCATTGCCGTATCCATTTCCGCCGCCATTTCCGTTACCATTTCCGTTTCCGAATCCATTTCCATATCCTGGCAGTAATAGATATTGCGTATATCGCATTAGCATTTGATTAATGTAAATATACCTTAATGAAATCATTTATTGTTCATTATTGATATGCGCCATTCCAAAGATTGTCAAGTCATACCATAAAATGATGATTACGAAAGCTTCAAACTGAACTTACAAAGCTATTTTAATTATGGAATGTTATATTGATAATGCATTATTATAGAATCAATGTAAATAAAGGTATTGATATTTTTAAATTTTTGGAAGTCTCCTGTTTTACACTATTATTTCATTTTGCTTTTCTAAATTTTCAAAAAGTACAAAGCTTTTTTAAATACATTAAAATTTGTAAAATCATATTGATAATTCATGATTACAGAATCAATATAAATAAATGTATTACTATCTTAATCTGTTGGAAGTCTACTAGTTTATACTTTAATTTATTTTTTTATTTCAAAATTCAGCTTTTATTATATTTCATACATAATATCAAAAAATGATCATTTTGTAAAATGATTCTTACCTGCAGCGCTTACAGCGACCAAGAGGCATGACGCCAAACACATACATATATAGGTGTTCATTTTTGCGTTCTGAAAGGAATACCTATAAATCGAAAAGTTAAACTATTAACAAGATGAGCATGTTTCTTGTGTCTTTTGTTCCGACAATGATTTGAACTAACAAGGTTTAGCTAATCAAATCATCTAATTTCATATACAATCGTTTAGTTAAAGATTAAGTGTTCCGAAAAATAATTTCTATTCCATTTTTCTGCCTACCCTTAGATACTAAGTTTATATACCGAATCCAATTTTATTTAGATATCAACAGTTAAACACATCTAAAGAATACCTTATATATTAATTTTCTGTTCGGAAAGCTTCTTGTTATATCTCAAAAACAAATTGTATAGTGACAATGAAGCAATGTATGAATATAAACCAATGCAAGCAATACTTCTTTTAATGATTATCAAGATATTCCACAATGAACTTAAATGAATTCATTAAATTATAATTACAATATTTTTTTATGATAATTAGGTCTTATGTATAAAAAAAAAATAACATAATCAATTTAATGTGTTCTTAATATAAAACTTACCGGACTTGGCTANATAAATTATGATTACAATATTTTTTTATGATAATTAGGTCTTATGTATAAAAAAAATAACATAATCAATTTAATGTGTTCTTAATATGAAACTTACCGGACTTGGCTAGAAGATACTGGTGGAGGACTGGAGAAGTGGTGCAGAGGAAGATAGATTAGGGTCTTTATTTATACAAAATTAGACGGAAGTCTGCACATGCAAGGTCATTGAATTGGTCTGGTCAGATCGTGCGGAACAGTTGTACAACGTAAAAACTTGTATTGTACACTTGCTAGAATAAATTATCTATCTTTAAATGTTTAAAGTCAGACTTCACTTAATTGTAACTACCTGTACACGTAATCAGGTGTGGGTAGTTAGCATGTTCTAGATGACGCATAGCCCCATTACTTTTATTGGTGTATAGTGGCATCTAATTATAGCTTAATGCTTGGTTTTATAACCCTTTGGTATTGTTTCACGATGTAAAATCCTTTTGTAATAAAACATTTGTTTTTAATTATGTAGTTATCTTAGTAACACTATTGAACATATTTGTAACGAAACAAGTGTTTTCCCATTTGAAATGTTAGAAATATTATTGACAAGTTGAGCTTCCCCCTTTGAATTACGCTGTTGTAAATTTCATGCATGCAATTAAAGAAATAAAAAGGGCAGAGAGCGGGGTTTTAAATTTCACCTCGCTTGCAGTATTGAATTGACAAATATCAGCTTCAGTAATTTAAAATTGTATTCACTATATAATCTAACGGCAATTGAACTCGGCATAAGTATAGTTTCTTTGATAACCTACTTTTTAACGTTATCCACAATCTAACATTAATAATCTTAAACACTATCTGTTATGGTAAGTAAGAAGTGTGAAATATATGCATATTTTTAAATGAAAAAAAAATACAATTTTTTCAATGAACACTCATGGAATTATGCCATCATTTTTCAACACAATATACCATTTTTATAGTTCAAGTGTTCTATTTTTCCATTTTTAATAAGCGAAATGAAAACGGGCTATTCAGATGGAAAATAAGATACTTCTCCGATCCTTTGCCTTCTCATTTAGATTAATATTATCTAAACTTCCTTGAAGGTGTGGCGAAGATATCCAGTCTTGTAACTATGGGGGAAAATAGGCCTGCTTTATGCCATAGCATGATATCGTAGAAGGCGACATATGTGTGATCATTTTTTGATTATCGAACCCGAGGCCTTACAGATTATTTCGTTTCCTATCGCGGAAAGGCGAAATTTATGCCTCTTTTTATTTGATATTACAGCTTTGAACAAAAAAAATAAAAGTAACTTGCAGCCTTTCTTCGCTTGGAAATAAACAAACTATCACAAAGAGTATTGATACTATTTCGTGAAAATTTCGCAAATATAAGGGAGATGGGATGATGAAGATGATTTGTATTACAGTTCAGTTTGTATCTGTCATAATAAAGTATCAAACGTACAACTTGGCCATACACACAATTGCTGGTGTTTGTTTTAAAGCTTTTTTTGTGAATAAGTAGGTGAGTGAGTAGGTATCAGAATAATCTTTAATTAAACTTTAGTTTGTTTACAACAAATTGGTAACGAGTAATAATCACTCTTTTTGGCCAAGCCGTTAGCGCTCAGGGAGTCTAAGTGTCACATATCGACATTTGAGGTTACTTTATATTCCATGCGGTAAGTATGAGTGAGAATTAAATAGGAAAGGTAGGTTATTGGTATTTGTATGTCGCGGGTAAAGAAAAGCGCGCCAACTTTATACTTACCTGGGCACGCGCAGAGTTGTTTGGACAGGTGTGAAAGGCAGGTGTAATGGCGTGACCATTGTTTTCATTACTGCTTCTGTTATTGTGAAGTATTCGGGAGTTAGCGTGAAATACAGCTCACGGTAAGTTATATTTTAATCATCGATAGATCTGTGTGTATCTCCTGAGTTATATTGTTGATTCTGTGTATGTGTGACCGTGTAATAAACGGTATTTCTCAAATAGTAAACAGGTGCGAAATTGTACGGAGTGCAGTGAGAGCGAATGGGTTTGTGTGGTAGTTGTTTAGATATTGAATAAGGATCATTGGGGCTTATTTATTTGTAATAAACAAAGTCACAATGGCATTATACAAATGCAATAATATATCAATGTTAGTCTGGTCATTACTATATACGATTGAGCATAGATGAGTGAGCGACGTGGTGTGTTTACGCATGTTGCAAAATGTTGTATAAGTAATATGTTTAAAGCGTATATTATAGATATGTAACATGATAGTGGACAATTATGTAGTTACTAGTGTTATTCATATTTTGTAGCTTATTTCCCAGTGAGAGACCTGTCAGTTTTGTCTGAGGACAAAAGTATGGAAACCCGTAATGGCCGACGGTGTTATTGTCCATGTTTTCCACCTACGATGCACTGAGACAGCAGTTTTATGAACTGACTTATACATATGGATATGATTATCCAGAGATGGACCGTGATGATATTTTCCCTAGTTATGGAGACATAATACTCTATTATGGAGGCTGGGAGCATGATGTGACATACTGTGGTATGGAGGCCCGGTAATAGTTGAGTGGAGTTGAACTCCGACACAGCAACTGTGACTTCAGCAGCTGAGATACAGTTCAGCCATAGATGTCATCTGCCAGTTGACCAGGAGGACATTCCAAGAGTGTTTGGCTACTGATTGTGTTTGCCAGAAGATGGGATTGAAATTAACATTAACGGAACTTTGTGATCTGTTCGTGTGGGAAGCTACAACGACTATTCATTATATTATAGATTTAGGGATTTAGGTGTAATATAATATATATATTTATCTATTTATAGATGTAAGTAAATCATAATATATATGTCCAATGTAGAATTGTATGAGAGTTATTAGTGAGTGTGAAAGAGTATGCTTGTATAGATACTGTATATTGTAAATAAATGTATATTTGTAGATCCTCTTTTGTTGTCAATTGCAAATGAATTGGCAGCGGTGGGATTATTTTGTTTGTAGTTGTATGAGGATTTGTGTTGTATACTCTGAGAGGGAATCTGTGAGAGTCCTTTTTTTTAGTTTTTCTTTCAGCTATATAAAGACTAGACTAGGTGTTAGTTCACATGGATACTGCTGTTATAAAGGTAAGTGTCCTTTAAATTTCCAAATTAAAATTTTGTTTTAGATATTGATTATTAGATGATCATACGTTTGCTATTTGAGTCGCTGGATAGTGGTACGTTGTATATTACACTATTGTTTCATCATGTCTTCCATTCGAGAAATGAAGGATCGTGGAGGGGAACTAGAATTGTCAGGAAAAGAACTTCAGGATTATATTCTCAACGAGCAAGCCAGGGAACGTGATGAGAGAGAGAAGCAGAGAGACTTGATAAAGGCCCAAGGTGAAATGGAACATGAGCTGAACATGTTGAAGATGCAGGCAGATTTAGAAAAGGAAAGAGAAGCCAGAGCTATACGAGAGCATGAGCGACAGAGATGCAGCTTCTAGAAAGGAAGAACAAACAAGGAGATGGATCACCACAAGTAACTCCTCATTCATCACATGTGGTTAAGGGGCCTAAACTTTCTTCTTTTGAGGAAGGAAGGACAATATAGACTCATATTTGCAAAGATTTGAGCGGTACGCGACAACGCAAGGTTGGGACAGGAACAGAGAGTGGGCAACCAACCTTAGTGTTCTTCTAAAAGGAAGAGCCTTAGATGTATTTTCAAGACTTCCTCTTGACCAGAGTATGGATTACGATGTACTTAAGGGTGCTCTCCTTAAGAGATCGAGATGACCGAGCAAGGTTTCCGGAAGCGTTTTCTAGACGGAAGACCGGAAAAAGGCGAAACCTTTAGCCAATTTGCTTTCCGATTAGAGAGTTACTTCCAGCGATGGCTAGAGATGGCGGGAACTGAGAAAACCTTTGCAGGTCTCAAGGATTTGATGATTCGGGATCAATGTATTCGTGCTTGTGGAAACGACCTTACTTTGTTTCTGAAGGAGAGGATTCCAAAGTCTATAGGAGAGATGTCCAAACTTGCTGATCAGTACGCTGAAGCAAGAGGTGATGCATTCAGTTTAGCAAGGCCAAGGTATGGAGGGCATAAGTCATCATCCAGTGGTGGTCAACCTCAGGGACACTCGGTAAGACTTCTGCTGAGACGGGACCGAGGGACAAACAAAGTAATACAGGGTTGGTGAAACATTGTTACATTTGCCAGAAAACTGATCATCTTTCTTTCAGATGTCCACAGAAGACAAACAAAAAGAATCAGGCAAACTGTGTGTCATCAAAAGGGGAAAATAAACGCCGAAGACAAGTATGCAATACGGAAATGCCTGTTGTGCAGGGATTTTTTGGTATTTATCCGGTGTCGGTTTTGAGGGACTCTGGTTGTGAGCGTTCTTTTGTCAAGACATGCCTGGTAGGAGACGAGTATCTTACTAGTGAAATGGAGACATGTGTGTTAGCCAACGGACACTCCGTTCCAACGTGTAGCCATTGACATAGTTGGACCATTGGATCCTGTAACTGAAAGAGGTTACCGTTACATACTCACCATAGTCGATTATGCGACGCGATATCCTGAAGCAGTTCCATTGAAGAGCATTGAAACTGAACGAGTTGCAGAGGCCTTAGTTGATGTCTACAGTCGTGTTGAAATTCCTCAAGAAGTGCTGACAGATAAGGGCTCACAATTCACTTCCGATTTGATGCGAGAAGTCAGCCGTTTGTTGTCTATTCGTCAGTTAACTACAACGCCGTACCATCCGATGTGCAATGGACTTGTTGAACGATTTAATGGCACTCTCAAGCAAATGCTTCGTAGGATGTGTTCCAAAAGACCTCGTGATTGGGACAAGTATATCAACGATTTGTTGTTTACTTATCGTGAAGTGACGCAGGAGAGCCTTGGAATTTCTCCGTTTGAGTTGTTATACGGACGATAGGTTAGAGGCCCAATGATGATTCTCAGGGAACTATTGACCAAGGATATTCCTGATCCTGATACAAAGACCGCTTATCAATATGGTATTGATCTGAAAGAGCGTTTGGAAGAGACATGCAAGATGGCTCAGCAGCAATTGAAGTCAGCCAGAACTCGTCAAGCAATGTACTATAA